CCGAACAGAATTTACACCTGGAAGTTGAAACTTCATTGTTAAAGATGCTTCAGTTTAATTAACATTTTAAAAAGTGTATCTTTTCTATATAGAAGATGAAAGTAATATTGCATGATGCATTTTAAGTTGTAAAGTTTGATGCCTTGCAAGTCATGGGCTATTAAGGTTATTTTTTCACATTCTCCCAATGGAACAGTTTTGAATATATACAAGCAGGCAAAAATCACTATGAGTTTTGTGTCATCATTTTTCTGCAAGTTTTGTATCATTTTGGCCCTGTTTTAAGACAAATTAATAGATAAACATTGCACACAACTAGTCTCAAGGGCTTTTGTATTGCTTAAACAACAACAATTACGACAACTATAAAGTATAAAGTCTTAAGAATCAAAAGCTTTCAGCAGTAGGCATTTTATTGTTTTTTGCTCATGATAGCTAGGTTTTGCAATATCAACTCATTAGTGTTACGCACTACTAAATTCTTGCGCTCCAATAAAATTTAGTGCCCCCTTAGGCTGTCTCTGCTGAACTGTTTTGTTGGTTTAATAGACTTACTCCGGAATTAAGAACATTGTAGGCTTTTCCCAGCTAATCGGGGGGGGGGGGGGGGGTAGAAACAAAGTTTTACAGTTACAGCTTTGAAAATAAGCGTAACAGGGATTAGCTTAGAAATGCCCACATTTGCCGAGTTCCGGGTAGCATCTTTTGAAGGTATCACTGATACTGGCCTAAAAAACGTGATTAAATGACTTAATTGCTTGCTAAGATTAACGTTACAAAAGAAGGAATATATTTATGTAAGATATCTGACAAATTCTTTGATTCACAACTCAGAACAAGGAGCAATCGGATACTGTATGTCTATCGCTAGACATAAATATATTCATGTATTGTCACCTTAATGCAGTAACAGGTTAACTCCCCTTAAAATTTTATTTGAGTTAACAAGTTACTGCTCTAAGATGACGTCATATTTAAAAGTTTGCAGTTCATTATGGCTGGTTTCATTTTGTGAGCTTTATTTATTTAAACAATGAAACCTTGGCATAGCTTGCGAACTTTAGTGGTTCTACTCAGGTGCTCTTTTGTGCCTGAAATAATGCATGAGGTATTCCTCCACCATGTCAAGCTTGAAAGTTGCCATGAGATCTTTACAGAATTGGTGCAAGGTAAAATCCAAGCATATTCTTCATTCAGAATTAATACAATATAAATCATTAGATTCAAAAGATTCCTAGAATGATAATTTTTTTTATCCCCTTATCATCAAAGAAGTTAATTAATAGATACTGTACAAAGAAAAAATTCCATAGATAGACAAAAGGTCAAATCTAGAAGTACTTGTTAAAGCAGTATAAGGAATTACGATAATTGACAGAATGAAAATCTATTCTCCGAATTTATCCAATTTGCATGGAAGCAAAACAGTAAATTGTATTGTTACAATAAAACTGATTTAACTGAAGATAGGAAGTCTAATAGGTCCTTATACCGTGCTAGAATCGGAAGTGATTAGCCATCACTACATGTATATAAATTATAGCCGGCCATGTATTATGACTGTCAGCTGACTAACTTTTTAAATATTCGTCTTTACATCCCCAAAATTGTTAATGGGCAGTTCAAAACAAATGGAAGCTGGACTAGTCCATGTAAGAAGTTCAGCCGGTTAAGGGTTAATGAAATATGAATATGTGATGATAGCATAAGGTCAGCGATTGATCTCAGATTGATCTTGATTAATCTCAACAGTACATACTGACAGATATTGGAAATATTTACTCTGATAGACAGGCTGGAATGTTTGTCTGATGTCTGGCCATACAAACAGTAGACTGGGATCCATAGTTTAATCACAAGTTCAAGGCTGAAAAAGTAATAACTGTTGACCAGTCAGCAGCTTTATTAGACTGATTAGTTTTTTTTTTTCAAGAATAAACATGCTTTTTAAAGAACAAGTCAAGAACCTTTTTATAGTAACTATATTATAACTCAAGGTGTACAAAATACAGAATTGTCTTCCCATTTCTACAGAGCATGTTCTTATTTTAGATTTAAATGGTAAAAATACTTTTGTAATATGCTAGATGCAGTTAGTATGGTCTGGTCGACCATTTTCATAATATTGTTTAAAAGCTAAAACCTAAATTCTTAAAATGGAAAATCCTGCTTCCAGTTTTTGAAGAGTCCATAATCAATTTTGGGAAATAAGGGTGAAAATATGAAGTAAATGAATCAACAATAGAACCTGGTCAGACTGAGCAGGAACACTGTGCAGGCTAGCCTGGCTCTCCACTTGTGGCAAAGGCTAAATCATTACCAGTCTCAGCAGATTTTAAAAGACGTCTGCTATGAACGTCTGCTATGTACGTCTGCTATAGTTTTCAGTGTTCCTGGTAGTGAAATGATCTAATAAAGATTGATTTGTCTTTAAAACAATCCTTTAAATGTCTGTTCATAGGAGGAAGAGTGTTGAATGTTTGATGTTATAATACCATTTAATGGTTTACATAAAAGATCTGCTTTTAGTTTAAAGTCTCCAGTAAATTTAATAACTCTCCCACATAGCTGGTTTAATATGTTTATAAGTTCATTTTAAGACTTAAGAAATCTTTTGAAGCTGTTATGAAAGGAGAGATGAAAACTATTTTTGGTAACAGGTTTATGTGGGTAATTTCTTACCCTTCTGGAACCAAAAGAGATTAGGTTTTATGTACAGTAAAGAGCCAGGCCAGCCTGCACTTTTCATGTAGTTTAACTAGGCTTTTATATTAATTGTTGGTATTTATTAAAAAAATAATGAATATTTATTAGGGGAAGTAATGATGGATGAATATTTATTAGGGGGAAGCAATGATGGATGAATATGTGTCAGAGGGAAATAATGATTGATGCATATTTATTTGGAGGAAGTTTAATATGATGGATATTAGGGGGAAGTAATTATGGATGAATATTTATTAGGGGGAAGTAATTATGGATGAATATTTATAAACCAACCAGTTGTAAGCAATGAGTGTTTCTTGCTCAAGGAAGCAACAGCTCGCCCTTGATGGGGATTGCACCCACGCAGTCAGCAGTCTTTAAATTTCTAGTTGGCCATATACCACTAGCTAATCTTTAATATACAAATTTCATATAAATCCCTGTATGACTTTTATGATTAAGATTATGGTTATTAATGTATTTATAGCTGAAATAATTCATTATAAGGAAAGGTTGGAATGAAAAAAAATTGATAATGTCAGGGAAAAGCTGTAGTATGTGGGAGGCAACGATTATAATTATACTTAATTGTCTATATGATTTTCTGCTATTTTTAGACAATTTCCTGGAATAAATGTCACATGATTCTTTTCTCTACGCTTTAATAATAGATCAGAGACATTGTAAGGTGAAGGTCTTCTGTTAAGGTCGTTGAAAAATTGTGCTTCCTAAAAGAGAGATTTATTTCTTAGAATTTTTTTTATAAGTGTTAGTTTTGTAGAACAAAACATTAATGTGATGCATAAGTTGTATTGTATATGAAAAATTCACATATCTTTTTTTATAGAGAGATCGCACTGTTATTTCTGAAGTATATTTATGAACAAAACGAGCAGGTGTCGATAAGAAAAGATATCTTTACTGTGTGTATGATTTTATTTCAAACTGTATTTTCAACAAAAATTATTATAAAGAAACAAAAAAAAAAACTGTAAGGAAGTGGAGAAACAAGAGTAAACAGTTAATCAGTGGCGGAGGTTGATGTATCACTTGATGATGTCATTAATGTCTGGTGTAATAGTGATGCATTATTCACGATTTTACCTTTGCTTCGACAAGACTTGAGATTTACGCCAACGAGAGCCTCAACTGGTTAATTAAAGGCTGTATCGCTATAAGAAATGTTCACCAGGCTTTGTCTCTGAAAGAGTTATCATTCGTTTAGAGATGGTGGGATTGAGTAATACAAAGTTTAAGTTTTGATGATTGGTATTAATTAATTGATGTTGACTTGAATGAATTTCATTATATAATATGACTTGCAAGAGGTAATTTTGTGATTTATCCAGAAATATGAATATTTCTAAATATTATTGATGCTGACATAAAGAAAACTGTAATCATATTTATGTACATTAAATGCTATTTTTTATCAAAGGAATATATCAGATGCGTTGTGTGTTCATGGTTGTGTTGATTTATCCATATAATTATATACTTATACTGCACATTTATAAAGTTGATTTCCACTGGACTGTCAAGAGGTTTATATAATCTATACACATATATATGTAATGATGATTGTTGTTAACTTTTAGCAGGTTATATGGCTCATAAATTTGTTGTTAAGACTTAACAGGTTATATGGCTGGCTCATTTATATGACTGGCTCATATAAGTCTGTAATACAGACTTTTAACAGGTTATATGACTATGCATATAAGTTTGTTATATTGACTTTTAACAGGTAATGGTAGTGCATTACCATGTTTGCTGTAGTATTATCAGCATACAACCATTTTTACTAAGCCATCTAAACAAATGGTGTTTTAAATTATCATGGGGATTTGGTTACAAATGGTTTCGGTTATATAATTTACAACCATTTATACAATGCCATATAAACCTGTCAAAAGTCTATAATTAATGATATATTTAATATAGTACAAATATATTTAATATAGTACATACACAATATTATATAGCATATATTATTAAGTTATTGTATATACCTCTAATCATGCTACAAAACTTCTATTTCTCGTCAGGTGGTAGAAACAGTCCGAGATTTGGCGGCATTAGCAGACGCGAGACATATCATGGTAGGGCTAGTGTGAAGTATATAATTCCCAGATCCTCAAATTCTTATAAAACATCAACTGTAAAATTAATTATCACTTCTGTAACATTGTCACGAAAATAATCAATTCTCATTTGAGCCGCGTCACGACAAAACCAACATAATGTGTTTGCGACCAGCATGGATCCAGACCAGCCTGCGCATCCGCGCAGTCTGATCAGGATCCATGCTGTTCGCTTACAAACCCTATAACAAGTAAAGAAACTGATAGCGAACAGCATGGATCCTGATCAGACTGCGCAGAAGCGCAGGCTGTTCTGGATCCATGCTGGTCGCAAACACATTATGTTGGTTTTGTCGTGACGCGGCTCATTTTTCTTTAATACTGTTTAGTGTATTATGGTATCTTTTTCCATTGGCGAACCATCGTCGAGAAGTCTCTCTGAATTATAAAATGTACAAAATCCCTTTCAGACTGGAATAATAACTGCCATGTTCTGCCATATTTCTTCTGGTGGATTAGAGTGTAAAAATAGATTTTTAGCGAGTTTCCATTCTTTCCGTCTCTTAATTACCAGTGTGTAGTCACTAGGTGCGACTTTACTTAAGATAACTTCACAACTGTTAAAAAAAGATGTATTCACAATTGTTAAAAGAAGATGGTTAACAAAAAAGGAAGGAAATTTGAATCATATTTATTTAATGCCACTTTGCTACTAACTTAGACTTGGGGTCAAAGGTAAAAAACTGAGGTTGGAAATTAGACTTCTTTATATCTAGGAATAGAAACTTCCAATTTCCTTTTACTGGTATATTGGAATAATGATTAGAAAAAATGCTTTGTAAATTATTCAACCTTTCAGTTGATCCAGATCTTTCTTGATCAGGATGCTTTGGTTAACAAAAATCTGTAAAATTGCATTTGCATATCAGATTTAAGTGATTGAATTCAGTTGTTTAATTTATTTTAGATTAAAGTGAAATTTGTGGGGATGCATTAATTCTTTGGTTATTTTCAACAAAAAACTCTCCCTCTCTGATTTGCAACTTGTTCGTTTTTTTCTATCACTTGAACAGAATTTCACAAATTAAACCAATTGTATTATTGAATTGCTGAAGGATTAGGGCCTCAGCCATCTCACGACCTTGCAAAGACTGCCCTTGGCATCTTTCAGGAACTTTTAACACTATAACACATTGTAGCATCTGTGTCAATTAAAAAAACAACATGTTTTATTTCAATTTCCACATGAATTAAAAAAAAAATAAAAGCGGGGAAATGTAATCTTAAATGAGCCTTGATTATAAATGGGATTTTTGTAATTCATTTGGAAATCATTTTAAAACAAGTTTATAAATGAGAGAGATGCTCCCACATATTTAGAATGTTAAAAACATTACTTGAGAGATGTCAATTGTGGAGCAAAGTTTGGCCTAATGTCAAAGGTCTAGCCTCTAAGTTAGGAACGAACCCCAAAGTCATGGTTCTAAACCCCAAGACATGGTCAAACCCCAAAGTCAGGTTCTTACCCCCAAGACATGGTCAAACCCTCAAGTCAGGGTCTAACATCCAAGTCAGGGTCCAACGACTAAGTAAGGTCCAACCACCAAGTCAGGGTCCAACCCCTAAGTCAGGGTCTAACCACTTAGTGTCTGTGCTACATTTCAATCTAAATGTGTATTTGTTTCGAAAGTATGTTTTCAGAAATTGTTATTGCCTGTGAACTTAATATCATAAGATGATTTGAAAAAGACTGGAAAAACACAAATGGTGACTTGCAAACCCCAATGTAATTTAAATATTCTATTGAAAAGTAGTCCCAAGACTATCAAATAAGTACATACTATTGACACTTAGTAATTCTGTAGCTGGAACACAACCCGGAAAAATAATGTAGAATTTCTCTATGTAGTATCACATTTAATTTTGAAGTGTCTTTCCTTAGATTTTAATATACCAAGTTCTTTATTTGATAATTTACATACACAGCTTTTATACGTTGCTTTTTTTTTTTTTTTTACTCATATTTATTATATGGGTTTTTCATTTTTCAGCCTTGTTTCAATTCTAGGTCCCAAACATAAACACGAGGAAAGCCCCCTAAATCGCAGCCGTAGTCTCTATGGTAACACGATCTTATATTTTTCTTATAAGCATGGAGTGATAACGATGTGAACGAAAATTACCCTCGGATGGATAATTTCCCTTTAACTCTTAACCGGCTGAACTTTTTTGTACGAAACAGATTCAACCAGTTTTGAATTTGGAACAGTTCATTCAAAGTTTTAAGGGATTTCAATATCAAAATGCAAATACTTAGCTACCAACAGTATCCAGCCTGGTCAAACGGGCCCGGGCTTCATACTGGTGCCGAATGCTAATTACTCTAAGTTCAGCTGGTTATGGGTTAACGATGATAATTAAACTATCGAACATTTGTTAATAACATTTTGCTCTTGTCACTAATATAATGCCTTTATAAGAAGGCTTTGTCTACGTATTTATGTACAGCGTGTGTCCGTCCGTCTGTATGTCACATGTTCCATGTGGATTGCAGCATGCTGTGGAATGAGAGAAAAAATCACAAGGAGCCCGTTATGTAATACATGTATCATAAATGTTATCATAATTTGTTATCATGAAGAAACAGGACTTGCTTGGACAAATACAAATCTTTCCTTTAGTTCGTGAAATTGCAGTGAAAAAAATGTAAAATTTCGACATCTACCAGGAGTTGATAATATTTGTCTGAACAAGTCCTGATTTCAAAATTAATTTATTTCAAAGTAGAAAACTCTCTACAAACGAAACAATAATTTTGTCTATATTATTTCAATTGCTTCAATATGGTCACATGACAAATTATTGTCGTTTTTTTCAATGTCATATTCATTATAAGGTATGGTAATAATGTACAAAATTATTGTTTCTTTTGTAATGTGACTGGCTTTATGGAGATATAAGAAACTTAGGTAGAAAATATATTTATATTTGTTTTTGTAGATAATGCTAAAGATGTTTATTTATCAGCCGGGCAGATTTATTTAGGTTCTACTTTTGTTACCACTTATGCAAGCTGATTTGTGTAGCTCTATTATTAAGCAATGAATCATGGTAAAATCTTTCAATTAAATTTTATCATAATGTCAATTTTCAAGACATTGGCCAGTTGTTTGTAACGCCGGCGGCCTAGCGGGCACTTAGACTTTCGGCCATAATCAGATGGTAAAATACGTCTTATTACCACCAAGTTGTTTGTAAACCCTGCCTTTTTATGCCCCCACAATGTGGGAGCATATAGCGTTGCACTTGTCCGTCAGTCCGTCCGTCCGTACGTCCCGAAATCTTGTGAACGCAACTCCTCTTAAACCGGATGGCAGATTTTGCTGAAACTTACAGAGATGAACAACCTTAATGTGTAGATGGTAGTAAAGGAAGGAATTTTCGCTGCGACCATATTTAATAGAATTATGGCCCTTTGTTGATTTTTTCACTAGATACTATGTAGAAATTTTGTGAACGCAACTCCTCTTAGATCGGATGGCAGATTATGCTTAAACTTACAGGGATGAACAACCTTAATGTGTAGATGGTAGTAAAGGAAGGAATTTTTGCTGCGACCAAATTTAAGAGAATTATGGCCCTTTGTTGATTTTTTCACTATATACTATGTAGAAATTTTGTGAACGCAACTCCTCTTAAACCGGATGGCAGATTTTGCTTAAACTTCCAGGGATGAACAACCTTAATGTGTAGATGGTAGTAAAGGAAGGAACTTTAGCTGCGACCAAATTTTACAGAATTATGGCCCTTTGTTTTTTTTGTCACTATATACTATGTAGAAATTTTCTGAATGCAACTCCTCTTAAACCGGATGGCAGATTTTGCTTAAACTTCCAGAGATGAACAACCTTGATGTGTAGATGGTAGTAAAGGAAGAAATTTTTGCTGCAACCAAATTTTACAGAATTATGGCCCTTTGTTGATTTTTTCATTATATCCCATACTATAGAAATTTTGTGAACGCGACTCCTCTTAAACGGGATGGCAGATTTTGCTTTAACTTCCAGGGATTAACAACCTTAATGTGTAGATGGTAGTAAAGGAAGGAATTTTTGCCGGACCAAATTTAACAGAATTATGGCCCTTTCTTGATTTTTAGTTTTCAACTTGTGGCAAATGTAGTCCAAAAAATATTTGACCTAGGATCATAAGATTGACAGAACAGTGGCATGTGGGGGCATCCGTGTCCTATGGACACATTTCTAGTTTGGGACTTAGTCTTCCGGTCATAATGTGATTGTAAAATACCTTCTTATTGCACTTGCTCTACAAGTTAGAAATTGCGCCAACTTATTTTCATGTCAAAGCCAAAGCACTGCAGTGCTTTGCAGAACAAAGGTAACAACTTGTCCCTTAAATTAAATTGCGGCTTGTTGTTGTCATACAAAAACTTTAAAATGTAGCCAAACCCTCAAACAATTTTGAAGGTACCCATATGAAACTTGGAACGCTTGCTTATCATGACCAGTGGCAGCTGTTTGACAAGGGGCATTATTCTAAAAGCTATATTTTTGGAGTTATGACCCTTTTTAAAATAGAATGTTTGTCCAAATTGCTTATTATTATAGATGGATGATTTCAAAACTATCAAATCTATCAACTTCCAAGGAATCACCCTTTTTCCAGATTGTAAATACTTGATTATCATGAAATGGCACTATTGTAAGGCAAGAAACATTATCCTGAAAGCAATACTTTTAGATGTCATGCCCCCTTTTAAAGTTACAATATGTTATAAAATATTGGTTATTGATAGTGGTTGCCATACAGACAAGCATTAACACCACATGCCGTGCTCCTGATTGAAGATTCCCAGGGGAACCATGTTAACATACACTGGTGCCAAATATTTAGATATTTTAGTAAATGTAATGGTTAATTTGTTAAAACCAATGTCAAACTTTGACACAAATCAGCTGTTGTAAAGGTTAGATCATATTATGCTTCTATATGTATTTTTTGTTGCAAACATATTTTATATGCATTAATATATAATATGTATACATTATAATATTGTATAGTTTCTGATATTCAAACATTTCAGATAACTAAAAGATGATCTTTTATAACTTTTAGATTTAGGTATTGTTAGAATATTAACCCATAGACTGCTGATAACAGAAACTGCTGTTTTTGCCATCTGTACACAACAATCCACTGCCAGGCCAGCTTGCTTGTCCATCTGGCAGTCTTGCATATCTCTATACTTGTTTACTGCCAAAATTCAAAAAAAAATATATATATGACAAGTTTCAAAGATGGACGCTGGTCAAGTCAGCAAGTCAAAGTGGATTGGTCTACAATGGGCACATGTTTTTCATAGATGTTTCAAATTTTGATGAAAACAATAGAAATGTTCCATTTACATATTATGATACTTTTTGAAAATAAAAAATTGATTATGTTCTAATTGATTTAGTTTAATAATTATATGATGATTATTAATATTTTAGAATATTTTATTATCTGCTATGTAAATATATCGTAATTTCGGATCACGAATATCAGCTTTTCAAAGTTTTGCCAACTATATCTATATTTGTCAACACCTTAGTGCAGTAATTGGTTAATGCCTTATATAATTAAATAGGAGTTAACCCTTTACTGCACTAATGTGTTGATATAATTCTTTCATGGTTTGTCATTATGTATGAGAATAAATACTATCAACGTAATTATTTATTGTATTACATACATTCCATTTTAGACCAATTCCCTTTAAGGGTTAAGTGATAATGTTAGAATATATCTGTGCCACATTACTAAAAAAAATCATTTCATAACCATTTTGTAAATGAAAGTCACACTGGCCATCTCAGGTTTTTGTGTCAAATTACTTTTACTTGTATAATAATCTAACTTTGAAATAGGCCATTATTTTGTTACTGAAGAGTTAACAAGCGACTTTATTTAATCATTGTTATAGATTTATTGTTTGAAAGTATAAGGTAGGGCTAAAATATTGAATATTTTTATATATGAAAAGCCCACCATGAACAGGCCGAGTGTAGTAAAGGTATCCAGGGTATTCAAGGTATTATCCAGTGTTCTATGTTTCCATAGTGATGACCTGATTTGGTGTTTCTATAGCAACAATCTCATATGAATATGCTTATGAATATTGTAGTAAAAAGTATGCTCTGGGTAAAGTTTATAAAACTTGAATGTGGGGAATCAGTCTGAATTTTGAGTCTTGCTATTGGCTGATTTCAGTAATGGCATGTAATACAGCCAATCAGATGAAAGAACTTCAAGACTGTGTTGCCATGTTGAGTTTTGTACTCTGAATGACCCATTTGATCTCTCTTTCAATGCTTATTACCATGGCAATAACCTAGATGTACCACTGTATTGATAATGATGCCGCATCTATTGCTATAGTGATGACCCAGTTAAATTTATTTCTATATTTAGATTTTTATAAATTTCTATTTTTAGATTTTATTTCTATTTTTAGAATTTTTTTTTTATTTTTTTTAATGAATTTGCTTTTTATTTTCTCCACAGGTTTATTTGGTAGTTAAAGATTATTATATTGCCTTTATATATGCTTTGTTTATTATTGTTTATCCAAATTCTTTTTCTTTTTCCTTCATTTTCTAGCAGTTTTTCTGTTTCCATGGAAATAGGCTGTTGGGCATTATATTCTTGTTTGAACCAGGTTATTACAGTAACCATGATGTAGAGTGTTAAAAGTTTAAAAAAAATATTTATTTGAAAAACAAATGAAAGGACAGTTTATTTTATGATTTAATTTTGATTTTATTTCCCCCTTCTTCCTGTTTTACACATCATTTTCATTTATTTTACAATATTATGTTTGGCTACCTTGTTTAGTTTTGGACACCCCTGTTTTGTTTCAATTCACTATCCTTTTTAGCTAGATCCATTTTCAGTTTGATTCTGATTTTGTTAGAAATTTTACTTTTTTTCTCGATGTTTGCATTGGTTCTTTTTAACCTTTTTACCCCCTCTTTAGTTTACCTTTATTTTCCCTAACTTCTCTGCAGTAAATTAACCTATTTTATTAAGTTTTAATATGTTGTGTTTATTATTATATTA